AATTCTCTGCACCTATAAAAAGCCATTCATGGTGGGTTTTAAAAGCAAGGACTGAGATATAAGCTTTCTGCATCTGGAATGTAGGAGCACCCCCCACCCCCACCCACCCACTCCCATCGATCTGTTGTGGAAACACAGAAAAGAAGATCACAACTGAGAAGAGCAGGTGCTTAAGTAGTAAGGGTAAGCAGAACCCTTAAGGAAGAGAGAGCAATTGCCAGGGCCATAACATCTTGGAGAGAAGTAGGGGAGACATTGTGGTCTTAGCTCCTAAGCCCTCATAGAAGTAGAGATTGGTAGTGAGTTAAAGAAGTGTGGCCTCCTTTTTGATTCTATTCCATCCCAGAGGCTGTTGTGGTTCAGCCATTACTGCAGAACCATGTGGCCTAAGCCCACCTGAAAGCAAAGACTTTATCAGTTATTCATTCTAAGGGACTGTGGTAGATGGTGCAGTGAAGGTACTTGATATAGTCTCTCTGTCTTGATGTCTCTGTCTTTCTCTGTGTGCTTGTGTGTGTGTGTGAAGGAGTGTTATCTGTATGTTCTTGCCACAATTAACACCCTCCTTTCATTTGCCTGAGGGCCTTTTCTACTGCATTCGTATACTTAGGTCAAATTTTTTTCTGTGTGTATCTCTCTCTCTCTCTCTCTGTCTTTCTGTATGTGTCTCTCTGTGTGTCTTTGAACCCTGCCCTCCCCCCAAGTGGCTTCCACCCCATATACACTTGTTCTCTGCTGGCTCAACCTTTTTTTAGGTGAAGGCCTTTTAGGAAAGGCCCTGGTTTTCTTTCTATTGTCTGAGATGCTTTAGTACAGGGGGAAATGCTAGCTTTTGCTTTTATTCAGGTCCTTCTATTATATGAGGCAAAATAAAATAAAATAATAAAATAATAAGAGTTAAAGAGGCCCAAGAAAAGAGGTAGTGTTGTCCATAATGCAAGAAACTGCAGAAGAGAAGAAGGTTTTGTTTGAAAGGATTCCATTTGGGGGAAGTAGGAACCGGACGTGTTGAAGATTAAAATTGGGGGGAAGCAAAACAATTGATTGGGCCTTTGAAATCTTGCCAAGGACCAAGAACCAGGACTAGTGACAGAGGGGCTGGCCAGGTAGGACAATTAAAATGGAAATCTGGCTCCCGGCAGCATAGTGTGGAGCAGGGCTACACAGTCTGCTGAAGGGGGAGGTGGGGCCAAGTCTGGCACAGTCTGTGGGTTTGAAAGAAGCTGGGCGGGTTGGAGGACTCCAGTTAGCCTTTGTAGTTCTGAGCTCAGAGAGGGGGTGACAAACACTAGGCTCCGGGTCACAAGACTGGCTTGGATGGCTTTTGGAAAAATTTCCTCTCAGCTCTCAAACACTGCAAATATATTTACCCCAACGTTACCTTCCAATCACAGCCTCAACATGTGTCCTGGACAGAAGAGGAGATTTCAACAGTTGTACCTGTTGGCTGAAGGATGAGGTCGACTCTCTTCCCAGTGCTCTAGAAGTACCAGCTGGATGGAATACAATATCTTTGCATGTTTTTCTTACACTTCCCATATGCTTGCGCCTCCCAGATCTCTAGGGTTAATTCCCCAGGACAACCTTGCTTTGAAAGAACAAAGTGTGGTGAACCGACTTGAAGATGGGGACTCCAGAGGCATCTGCCTCTGCTAGACCCAGACTACAGGTGATGGACATTCACAGAGAAAGTAGTAAGTTTTCATTGTTGCTATTTTGTTTATTATTTTCAAGGCTTAGTTGATTTCTAGGACCAGGGTCCTCAAAACATGTGTGGACTCCCTCTCTGTCTCTCCGTCTCTGTCTTTCCTCCCTTTTCCTCTCCTCTTCTTTCTCCCTCCTTTTCCCTTCCAAGTAAAAATAAATAGTACCCTTCCCATCCCAGGAATGATTTATAAAAGCAACAAACTGCTTCTTCCTCATGGTTTCAGTCCTGGATTGAAGATCTCTGAGGTTGGCCTCTACGTGCCTATCCTCAATTATCTCAAAACCACATCTGCCATCAGCTTACACAATCTATACAGAAGTGCTCCACAATAAATACTATATAACCGGTGTCATCATGCTAAACTTATCCCAGTACTTGCACAGATGTCTTCTTTGAGGGATCTCTGTACGTATTTTCAATCGCTCAAAGGGATAGGAGATTTTAGAAGGAGGGTGTGGCTCAGCTGATTCAGCTCCCTTCAGGCTCATCTCTGACTCTTTCCTGTGGCTCCTCCCTCTCCCCACCTCCCAGATCCTCAGACCTAACCTGAGCCAGCTGTCAATTCAATACTGTCTATTTCTCTTTTCCAGCCTGGTTAGATTGCTGGGCAAGTGAGCACTTCTCATGATCACACTCATTATGTCTGTGGTCTCTGCATTACCATCAGACCAAGACACAGACTGAACAATAGCTTCTACTCCCACAACTTCTGTCAGCCAGAAATAATGTAGCCAAAGTACAATCGTGATACCAATATTGTATTTAGAAGCTCTCTAGCTCATTTCATCTTCCAAGAGTCTTACGGATGTTAACTAATTAATCTTCACCACACTTCGTACATTAGAGGTAAATATTCTTAACCATGACGGAAGACATGTATGTATATGCTGAGGACAGTAAAACAGTTACTTATTTATCATGGTTCACTTGATAGAGTAACTGGTATTTTAAAAACACCCATCATAGATACAATAATTAGAGATATGCTTTTGCTAACAAAGCCACTACCCACTTCTAGCGTACCCTTGGGTACTAAATAATTACCCACTTTGTGTGGTTATCTAGCTCACTAATTACCCACAGAAATTGGGGTCAGGTGTTAACTGCTTGAAATAAGTATCCTCTGAAGACATCGCTGAGTTGTATGGAGAAAATGATGTGTTCCTCAGCCCAACTTTCACAAGTCATATATTTGTATATCTTTGTAAGCAGAGTGAACACAGACAAGGACAAATTAGCTTAGTATGTGGAAGTCAGGCTAAACTGTTACTGTGAATCAGAGGGGTTTGGAGAATTTCATTCTCCTTCTATCTTTCCTTTCCAGCTGGGTGCAGTTGCCTGCTCTTGGCCTTCATATGCTGAGACAATCAAGGACTCTCCTTAGGAGTGAGTCATCTTGGCATTACAGGGAGGCACCCAATGAGTCAAAGATTTTTTTTTACAGCTCCACCCTTTTTGGTTATTTAAGCCTCTTGTCTCTGTCTCTCTGTCTCTCTCTGTGTGTCTGTCTCTCTTCTTCATCAATCTAGTGCAAACACTCGATTAGTTAAATCTGAAAAAGATTCTGACTCAGTCACTAACTCCTCCTGGCAACTGCCTTCCTCCTTCCCAGACATGACAATAAGGAAAACTCAGCATTCTTTAACTTCTTCTCTTTTGCCTGATTGTCCTCCTCTCTCCTCTTCTCCCTCCCCTTTCTTCTCTTTTTTCCCTTCCTCTGCTTCTTCATCTCCTATATGCTTATCCTTCTCCTTTCTTTGGCTTCAGCTGTGCTTTTGAAGTCCCACCGTCAGAAACAAAGCACAATGAATGTCTGTGGTGAACACAAAGAAAACTACCTTTTAAAACACCCACTTGCAGGGAACCTGCATTCTTGGCTGCCTTCTACCCCTTTCTTGCTATTTACAGAAGCCCATATTCTATTTTAACACAGTACTGTCTGTTGTCTGCAGGATTCTAGCCTCATTGGGGGAACTGGGTTAAGACAGCAATATACCCACTGTGTTTATAGATAGGTAGAGACTCTGATTTTGGGGGTGGTGCCTTCTATGAGAAGATACTGTATAGAAAGCAAGCATTTAAAGACGGTGACAACAAAAACACTGCATGCTGCTCCCTCCTTTTAGGGATGGCTTCTTTTTTCTTGTGCCTCTCTCTTCTCTCTCTCTCTCTTTGTCATCTGAAGTATTGCTTATCATTATTGAGGGACATTAAACTGATCGATAAAGTATGCATGTATCTGATGGACATGGGAGGATACAACTCCTTCAGGCATCAGGAAAATGCCTGCAGTGGAAGCCAAGGGTTTGGCTGAGCTGAGGAGACTGACTGAGGGGCTTTCCAAATCCCAGGAACGTAAGTCGCAAATTAGTGCACATTGCAACCAGGGGGAACCAGAAAAACCCAGCCATTGGAAGGCAAGAGTTTTAGCATTGTGGTCCTTATGTGACAAAATAGTATCTATGTATCTTAAATATATAAAAGAGCAAGGATGCGCATCCTTGCTCTTTTATGCTCTCATACACTGATTTCAAAGACGTGTTTGGGCGTTGTTGACTATCTGTCCATTAAAAAAAAAAAAAGGAAAAAAAAGAACATTTCTCAAGAAGCCTCACCTGTGTTCATCCACGTACGTGTGTGGATGCCGGACAATTGGTCAAAGAACCATACAGATGTTTCACTTCTTCACCATCCCCACCTTGACCTTCCCCCTTAGAAAATGGGCTACCTGAACTGTAGATTTAGCAAAAGAAATATATACGTATGTGTGTGTGTGTGTGTGTGTGTGTGTGTGTGTATTACAATGTCTAGTTTCCCCTGACCTGATGGTATATTTTTGATCTCATTAGTAGTCAGGGAGATGTCTCCGTGCATCCGGTGCTGCGAGTCCGGGAGGAGACATGCTACAACACAGAGAGAGCAAGCGCGGGAGGATATTAGAAGAGGCTTGTCTTCAAGATATGGAAGGAAGTGAGAGATGACAGCCTGCAAGCTCTGTATGCCAGAGCCTGGCAGGGCGGGGGAGATGCGAGGGAAGCCAAGTGGATTCTCAGAAAAGGGGGGAAGCCATCAAAGAGCTAAAGGTGATTAGAGGGGGATATCGATTCCTTACTTTGCCAGAGGTTTAAGCAGGCATGTGAGGAATCTGCACCCGGGTTGGCAGAAAGAGCCCCATTGCCTCCTGTAACCAGACACTGGGGCTTTCCAGGAGCCCAGGGAGAGAGCCGAGAAGAAAGGGGGCAGTGTGGTCTAGGAAAATTCAACTTGTCGCTGATTTGTGCCTGATGCTTGCTGTCCGTCAGCAGCCTCCCTTACAAGCTTTTTTCCTCTCCCTCTCCTTTTTTTCTCCCCTTGCCTTCTTCTTCAGTGAAGCCTAGGGGAGCCAGTAAAGATTAAATGTGCTTTCTCAAAGGCAGCCACTTCATGCTGCTATGTCGAAAGGGCTATTATTAATAATAATATGAGAGAGGGAGAGAGAGAGACTAGGTGTGATGATGACGGTCTAGCTTTTTGGAGAGGAAAGGGGAGAGAAAAAAGGAGAGACCGCGAGCTGAACAGAGGACTGTGTGTGAGCAGAACCTACAGAGGTGAGAAAAAAAGAAGTTGTCTGGGTGTGTGTGTGTTGGGGTGGGGGGGTCTGTTCTAAACAGACCCTTGTGGAGAAGGAGGAGAGGTCTATGGGCTGGCTGGCATGGTTGTAGTTCTTCTGGTGGGGAGGAGGCGAGCCTGGAGCTCTTTACAGTTCCCGGTTGTATATGAAAGTATATTAAAAATAGTTAGCTTTTCTTTCTTTCTTTTTTAAACTCTGAGTCGGAGGACCCCCTCCAGTGTCTTCCTTACTGCTGGTGCTTTGTTATTCTGTGTGCCCAGCGAGGCATCTACTTCGCTCAGGCCTGGGATAAAAGAAAGAAAGGAGGGGTGAGGGGAAAGAAAAATTTTTAAAGGGGCATCTTCCCATTGGCTTCCCCTCCCTCCCTCTCGGTTCTTTTTTTTTTTTTTTTTTTTTTTGGAGTCTGCACAGGAAAGCGCGGCTTCCAGGCAGAGGAGGTTCAAGAAAGCGACTCTATCAGGTACAGCGCTAGTAGCTGTCTGTGAAGATGGAGGGGGATTATGCCTCGGATGCCTCTGAAATATTGGCCAAAGGCTTCAAAGGATCCGCAGAGGGAGGCGAGGGTGGGGGGAGCATTTCCCCAGCTCTCACCCACCCTTCCCACTTTGCGTCTACCAAATGACAGGCTGGAGCTCGCTCTGGGTGATTTTGGCCTTGGCCTCAGCCAAGCAGCTGATGCAGAGAAGGAGGGCCCGGTTTGCAAGAGTGACAGAACTCCGCATGCTAGAGGGGGGGAAAAAAGAAAGAAAAGAAAAATAATTTTTGTTTCTCAAGCAGTCCTTGGGAAAATTTCTCGTTTTCTCTCGGTTTATTTATTTATCATTAATTTTTTTAACCGACTATTTTCCAAATTTGATCAGCCCCAGCCCCTCCCTCTACTCCCACCCAAATGCCTCCTCCTACCCCCCAGCCCCCACCCCCGGTCAAAGCATAAACCAGAGAGTTACGGTCTTCTCTCGATTTTGGAGTATCGCTTCCTGCCCCCGCCTTCCCTCCCCGCCCCATTCTCTGTCCTATTGAACACCTCGCCCAGCCTAGCGCACTGCGAACTCACATTCCCCCCTGGCTCCGGATGGCGCTCCTGGAGGCTCTGCAAGCCCGGCTCCGCTTCAAATGGGTGAGTTCAAAAAACCTTTCTAACCTCCAAATCCAGTCCTGCTTCCCTCAGACCCCATCTCTGTAGACTGTTGTATGCAGCACCCTTGCCCTGGGGGAAGGCAGAGGCACATTCTCTTCTCCTCAGTCATTCGTGCTGGTTACAAATGAAAGGTTTGAAGAGATAGTTAATCCCGATTGTAGATCATGTGTGTGTGTGTGTGTGTGTGTGTGTGTGTGTGTGTGTGTGTTATAGAAAAAAAAACAAATAGAACTAGGTATTTCTGAATTTATTCATATTCTTTTCCAATTTGGTAAATGATTTTGACCAAAGCCTGAAAGTTTTCTTTCATGTTACAGGCATTTACATGTTCAGGTGTATGTATATATATTGCGTATACAGGGCTGTATGGAGACTGAAATGGAACTAAATTTTGTGAAGGGAAGAGGCTTAGAGAGAGCCAGGATGTAGCCACACTGGACCACCTGTTTGCTGCATTTTAGTCCCAAGTCTGCAACCGACACTGCCTGTCATTTTTGTTTTGCTTTGTTTTGTCTCAAGAAAGAAAGAAAGAAAGAAAGAAAGAAAGAAAATTGTGTTGCGCTCCCCTCAGTCCCTGAGACCCTAACTTGTGATGTTTACCGTTTAAATCCACGGGTTAGGCTCTTGGGAGCTGTGAGTCGTGCCTTTGCGTCGCTGAGAAACTTTTTGTCTTTTAAGAAAAAAGAAAGAAAGAAAGAAAGAAAGAAAGAAAGAAAGAAAGAAAGAAAGAAAGAAAGAAAGAAAAGTTTGCCAGGAGTGGTGGGAGTACACCTCTGAGACTTCCATTGTTAGACAGGATCAGGTGACCAGAGTGAAGCAGCTCCTGGCTTCTGTAAAAGTAGGCATAGACTGTTAGCATCCTGTGTTGGCTGCTATGGACGCCTGTGTATATGGCTGACCCGAGGCTGGTGGGTCTATTCCTTGAGAGCAACGGCACAGTGCTATTCCAGCGTAACAGCAACAGCTCAGTACCTGGTACTTGGCCTCGGCACATCTCAGCTAAGTCCCAGCATGCCCCAGGTCTCCAACTTTTAAGCTCAACAGTTAATCTCAAAATTGTGCCCAATTAAAATGGGCACGAGAATGTATTATATCTGCATTGTCCACACGTGTGTCATGCCTGGCTAGACAGAGGTTTCACTGACATAGGTACACACAAACCACTAGTTTGGAATAAATGAAGAGGTTAAATATTCAACTCAATACAAAGGAAAGAAATTAAGAGGTCAGGAAAGAGAAAATATGTGCTACTTTGCAAGATTTCTAAAAAACAAAATGGAAGGAGGGGTCCTGGCTCCTTGGTTTTGTACCTCTTTAAAAATGTTATGCTTGACGAACTTGAAGGTGATAAGGATAAAAATGTATTTTCTAAATATTGTGGAATGAAAGAAATAACTGGGTGCATTTGATGCTGCTGCATTCTTTGGGGTGGGGGAAATCAATGCCTATGACTCTCCTTTAGAAACTAGACACATTTTTTTTTTTAATCAAGATTTTAATATAACCCAACAAAGTTATTGGTAATACCAAACCACATTTCAAAATGATCCTCTCTTGAGGCATTTGTTAGCGTTTCCTAGTTTGTAGATTTCTGGGATTGTAGTTTTCTATCACAGGGTAACTCCAGTGTTTCAGGTCTGCCTCACATTGGGAAAAAAAAGGACACGGCTTACCTTTGCTTTGTTGCAGAAAATTCGCTGTACAGTTTCCTTTAAACAGTTTTAGTCTTCTCAGCCCAACCTTTTTCTCCATTTTTGGAAAATACCTAAATCAACCCAGACTCCAAATGCTTTCATGTTTGAAAGATTTTGGAATGGCTGTAGCCTCATTGTACACACGGAGTGGAAGGTTAAGGAAAGTTTTTTTTTTTTCCTATTTTTAAGAACTTATTACAATTTTACTCATTTATTCCAAATTGCAGTTGAGAAAGCGTCTCGCCTCAGAACACTGAATTGGGAACTATGCAACAATTGTGTGATGCCTTTTGTTGAAACCTCTTGTACGGCTGTAATTTAACTATTACTTGGCAGCATTTGGTAGAATGTGCTTCAAAGCATGCAGTTTTCTAAGAGATTTTTCATTAGTTTATATAAAATAATTAATTAATGATTCCCCCCACCCCATTTCAACCAATGTATATGCATAGCTATGTGGAAATTATGGTGGTGCATCAGTTTAACTTATGGGTAATATATTATCACATCATACATATGAAAGATAGGCGACCATTTGGTGCTTTGGAAGGCAAACTATGTAGGCAGCCAATCTGGCAGAAATGTATGCATGATCAATAAAGCCATGAAAGTTGTAATTTCTCTGTGATTTCAAATGATAGAGGACCATAATTCAAGACAAACGTTTCCGTTTGTCCTCCGAGGCGCTCCTGCTTTCCCCATGCTTTCAAGCCTATTGCTCCTGTTTTCAGCCTAAAGCCGTGTGCCCAGGCATTCAGCAGTACCTGTGACACACAGGTTTTTTTATATTTCAGCAGGCAACTGCTTCACTGCAAGGGCAGGTTTCTCAACATCCCCTCTTCCTCACGGAGCCCATCAGTGAAGTTCAGTGAAATGAATAACATAATTGGTGGTTGGTTCAATCACTACCGGTCTAGACTAGCCCAGACGCATCAATTAGAGGGGACTGTCTTTTAAAGGGAGAGTGTAACCGAAACAAGCAGGCTATTATTGATACCGATCTTTAAAAGCACAAATCCAGCCTGGCAGATAAAAACAAAACAAAACAAAACAAAACAAAACAAAACAAAAAAAAAGCTGGGAGCTGCAGAGGGGGTGCACTGGGGGGAAGAAAAGAGACCAAGGGAACTGGAGCACTGGAGCTGAGGGCGAAGAAGGACAGGAAGCTGGAGAGAAAGGGAGGGATAATGAGTGGAACACTGTCCTGTGCCTCCTTGGAGCACAGTTACAGTTCAGTTCACAGGGCTTACCGCTCACCATATTTTTACCTAGCTTATACACACACACACACACACACACACACACACACACACACACACACACA